GAGTCGTGCCAAGAAGAAGAAAAGGCCAGGTGCCCACGCCTGTAATTCCAYKGACTCWGGAGGCTGAGGTCGGAGGATWGCAAGTTCAAGGTCAGCCTGGGCAACTTAGYGAGGCCCCAAGCAACTTGGCRAGGCTCTGTTTCAAAATGACAAATAAAAAGGGCTGAGGATGTGGCTCAGTGGCAGAACGCCCATGGATCCAAACCCCAGTACTGAAAAGAAGAGGAGGAGGAGGAGGAGGAGGAGGAAGATAAAGCCAAATTAAAGAAAAATGTTTTCCTTAAAAGGAGGCACATGCCTGGCAAAAATTAAACAGGTGCATGAATTACCAATATTTGGGAAACGCGGCCAAGGCTCTCACCAACCTCGCTGCTGTACAATCTGAATTTTGAGCTAGAGACGCCGGGGTCAGCCTCCTAGAGAYGCTAAACCAAATGCTAGACCTCTAGGAACACTTGGTTTTAGAAGCCGGTACCCAACCCTGGGTGGCTTCCTTGGGGACATGTGGGCACTGGACATCCTCAGCTCTTGGGCGTTACTGCAGCCCAGTGAAGCCCTGGAGGGTTTCTCCCCGGCGTCTCTGCAGCTCAGGTGCAGCCGCGGCACAGGGTGGGTTTTCAGAGGTCGTGGGGCACCTGAGCACCCCGTTTCCAAGGGCTCTCGACCTCATCCTTTTGCCTTCGCCAGCTGCTGAGTTCTTTCTTCTTGATTTATTCCTGGTTTGTGCAATATTTCAGGAAAAAAAGCAGCACCAGCACCTGCCATGTCCCATGATTTGCACACAAGGGAATGTCACCCAGAAGAGGCACTGGGGAGTTTTTTCATTTTGGGGAAGGGGGGGGTGATACAGTGGGGGAGTTCGAAAGGGAGAAGTCMGAAGTTCTTTTGTGTCGCTGTAAAATATTAAAAATTAAAAAAAAATCCAACCRGAGCCGAGAAGCAGGGAGTAGGGCGGAGGCCACTTGTGCTCCACCACGACGTTCTCCGTCCTCGTGTGGCGGGTGGCCGTGTGACTGAGCCTCTCTAATAGTGTGTGGGCAGAAGTGAGGAGGGCCACTTCCAAAACCAAGGCTCTAAGAAGCAGCTTGCGCCTCCTCGCTACTCCCTTTCCCCCGCCACCCTCTGAATGCAGAGAAAAACAAAGCCCCCCAGATTAATGGAGCCCTAGAAGAGGGAAGGAACCTCTTCCTGGCCATATGGAGAGAGTGGGCGGGGCCAGGAACACCCGCCTCAGGCTGTCAGGAGGATGCGAACCAAACTCCCATTGCATCTGAGCCGGGGAACATTGGGGGGTCTACTTGTTACAGCAGCAGAATCCACCCTCATAGAAGCTTAGGCGCCCTGACTTCTAGGCAGATTCACCAAGAGGATGCTGCGGCGGGAAGAAGGGAACCTTGCAAGATTCTCACTTACTCCCTCTGCCTAGTTAACGCCTCCTCTTGATTCGGTCTGAGTCACTTGTGGAAGCCTTTGTGGACCTGAACCAGGGCAAAGCCTGCTCCCCCGGGCTCCCGCGGCGGGAACACAGCAGCTGCGTTTTAACATCTGCCAGTGTGATTTTTTTTTTTTTTTGATTACTGTTTATATCCTTGCTGTGTTTTAAAGTATGCATCTTCCAAAACTCACGGAATGATACGCTGAAGATGTGTGCATTTGCTCGCATGTAAATTTCACCTTAAGTTGATCATCAAAAAGATCTGAGTCTCGGTTCCATGATTTGCAGGCTGAGGAGTTTGGATGCAAAGTGGACTCAGGTCTACAATTAGCTGGGAAACGCATGAAAAAGCAGGCTGAGCCCTGCCRCCCGGCAGAACACCCTGTCATCCCAGCTGCTGGGGAGGCTGAGACAGGAGGACTGCAAGTTCAAACTCAGCCTCAGCCACTCATGAGGCTCCTAAGCAACTCAGGGAAACCCTGTCTCAAAATAAAAAAATAAAAAGGGCTGGGGATGTGGCTCAGTGGTTCAGCGTCCCTGGGTTCAATCCCTGGCTCCAAAAAAAGAATAAAAAAAAAAAAAAAAGTCGGTAGGTGCAAGGATAGACCGACRCGTGATAAAGCAAACACAGTCAAATGTTAGGAGTAGACCCTGGGAGGTAGGTATCAGGCTCCTTGTGCGATTCTTTCATTTTTTCTGTACTTAYTTATTTATTCATTTATTTATTTATTTTTGGTCAAAACAAAAGGTTGGAGGAAAAGTTCAACAAGTGTGGGGATCGTGAGCATAATGCACAAAGGCATTTAGTTTATACACAGCATGGTTTGGTTTTATGTTTACTGGTAATTATGTCTTTCCATGATGACAGACATAGGTGTGTGGGATGTGTGTGGGAGGGGACTTTACTCTTGAATGTTTTTTGTTTTTTTTTTTTGTACCAGGGTTTGAACTCAGGGGCACTCGACCACTGAGCCCCATCCCCAGCCCTGTTTTGTGTTTTATTTAGAGACAGGGTCTCACTGAGTTGCTCAGGGCCTCGATTTGGCTGAGGCTGGCTCTGAATTCTCGATCCTCCTGCCTCAGCCTCCAGAGCCACTGGGATATATCCCAATAGGAGTGGAAGGATCAGACTACAAAACTCGACATTAAATAATAAATGAACAGTATACTTGGAGGCTCTGTCGTAAAAGTTCTAGAAAGCCTCTCTGTCCAGGTCGGCTGGACATGCCAAGGAGCCCAGGGAGACGGGCCCTGACCCACCGGACAGCTCACTCCCTACTGCCCTCCCTTTGAAAGTTTGGAAGCAGGTGGCGCATTGGGGATCCAGTGGCCTTCACACACTTCACGCTGAGTCTCTCTCGATGCATCTCCGCGGGTCTGAGATGTCCAYGTCATCCCCTCCTGGCCTTCACAGGTGATGGCAGTGCTTGAGAGCAGGTTTTTCTGGGAGAGATGTGACACCAAGGGCCTGGGGGAGGGGAGGTGGGAACCCCAAGCTCCTCCATCCAGAGGGGCACAGGACCTACCACAGGACCTTAGCACTTGCTGTTCTCTCTGCTGGACACATTCCTTCCCAGGCCGGGGGGGTCACCGCACTCCTACCTGCCTGGCCCATGTGACATGTTCAGGGCCGGCATTCAGCTCTAAAACCGCCTTCACTTACACCCGMAGGTGGCAAGGCCAGAGTCGCCCAGCTCTGTGAGTCCGAGGATCGCCATTGTGTGCGCTATTCTGTGTGGCCTTTGGTGACGTGGCTGTTGCTTCGTGACTGACTGGGTCACCATCCCCAGCCTGGATCAGCACCATTAGTACCATGATAGTATGATCTCAATTAGGACGACAGTCACCATGGAAACAGATGGCCCATCCTCTGATTCCTTGATGTCTCCAGTGATCCATCGTCCCGCGACCACCTGGCCCCCCAACCCCAGTCCTCTCCACGAGGCCCCCCAACCCCAGTCCTCTCCACGAGGCCCCACTTAGAACTTTCATTTCCCCAAGACAATTCTCCGACCTGTATTGTTCAGTGATCAAATACGTGGACGCGGCACACTGACTTTGGCGCGAACGTGGACAAGAACCAGAGTGTTAGATGAGGACAGGGACACAGCAGAGTTGCAGGGAAATCAACCCAGGTTCACTCGGGTAGCAGCGGCCTTTGGGGGACGGAGGGATCACGACCAGGTGCGCTCCTGGGTGGGAACAAGGCTTCTCCACGTTTCTCCTTCTGATGCGATTTTAATGATGAATCATTTTATATATTTATAAAATTGGATTGTTTTTCTTTGAGCCTGGGTCTCACTACGTTGCCCGGATTAACCTTAAACTCCTGGGTTCAAATCCCAGTCCTGCTGTAGTCTCCCGAGTAGCTGGGACTGCAGGTGTYGCCCCACGGCAGCCAGCTTAAAACTGAATCTTCAGAAACTCTCCCGACGGCCGGGTGCCGTGGCCCGTGCACCACCTGTCATCCCAGCGGCTTGGGAGGCTGAGGCAGGAGGATCTCGAGTTCAAAGCCAGCCTCAGCCAAAGCGAGGCCCTAAGCAACTCCGTGAGACCCTGTCTCTCAATAAAGTACAGAATAGGGCTGGGGACGGGGCTCCGTGGTCGAGTGCCCCTGAGGTCAAGTTCACCACCTGCTTCCCCACCCCTCCCCCATCCAGGCTCCTTGGAGCTGCAGGGAAACGTCGCACGGTGGTGTGGGCCAGCTCCAAGCCCCGGTCCTGTCGCCAAGGGGACCACAGGACTGTGAGGCCATCTCACGGGGTTTCCTGACTCTGATCCCACTCCGTGCCGAGACTCTCCAAGCCTTGGGTCATGGATTCGGAGCCTTTGGTTCATCTTAGCAGAATGGCCTCTCCGGCCGGCCACAGGCAGAGAAAAATGTGTGCATTCAGCGGGGTCCCCCGGGAGTCCTGGAAACGCGACGGTGCCCGCCCCAGGGAAGACCCCCTCCTGGAGACCTTAGATCTCAGCAAGAGGAGAGGGACAAACCCATCAAGAAATCCCAGCATCATGGGCGATGGACRCCGTGAGAGGGACAGACAGGACGGGGACCGGACGGTGGCCCTCAGGACGCACTCTCAGGAGGGAGGTCTGCGTGGAGATGTGGATCACGAGGAGGGGCCAGGCGCACAGAGCCCCAGGCGAGTCCGGAGCATCACAAAAGCCAGAAGCAGGCTCCTGTTCCCCTCTGTGAAATCATTGTCCTAACCCCTCCGGCTCCTGTCCTCTTGGTGCCGACACCTTCTGATGGCAACTACAATGCACCCAGCCCTACCCTACCACAGGACCTTTGCATGGGCTGTTCTCTCTGCCGGGCCCATTCCTTCCCAGCTGGCTGGTTCACGGTCCTCCTTCAGCTCACATCCTGATCACCTGGAGCGCATCCGCTCTCTGTGACACAGCCTTTGACTCATTTCTTTCACAAGACGCCTTGCCAACAGCYGGGTGGATCTGCTGACTTTCTCCTCTTTCCCCCCAACTAGAAGGCAGGCCCCACGCCCCTCCCCCGCCCAGGACCAGGTGCGCCCTGCGCAGGGGACGCAGCCACMGCGTCCCACTGTACCTTGCCAAAGCTGCCCTTCCCCAGCACCATCAGGAAGTTGAAGTCGGTCAGCTTCATGCGGTCCCTGTTGCCRTTGTTGTCCAGTTTGGAGATGGTGTTGCTGGTCTTCTCCTCGGGGGCCTTGGTCCCCTGGCCGATCTTGGCCCTCTGCAGGGAGAAGCACACGGGACACAGGATCAGAGCCCGGGGACACCTGGTAGGAAGACGCGGGTACCTGCCTCCGTGTCCTGCCGCCCACGCGCCCCGACCTGTGACACGCCGGGCCACCCGCGAGCCCGACACCTGGAGGCCACCCTGGGCACCTCCATCTCCCCTTGGTCCCTCGGGGTCTCGGCCGTCCCCAGGAACCTCCGTGGACCCCGCTCCCTGCTGGGTCCAGATCCCCGGCTTCTCTCCCCCTCCCGGGGACCTGTGCGGGCTCCTTCCACCCTGGATGTCACACGCGGCCACAGTGAACGCCCCACCCAGCCAGGCCACCTCCCGCTCCAAACGCTTCAGCAGGACCGAGGTCACTCTGCCRTCGTGGGAGGCCAGGACTTTGCTACAGGATGTGCTTCTGGGAGGCAGAAAACCGTGGAGCTCAAAGCTCGAGTCAGAACCTGAGTCCAGCCTGGATCAGCCGCTGTGGGACCCTGAGCAAATGAGTGGCTCAGGTCACCCCCTGCCCAAACCCCCTTAGTTTTCTCCGCACCATCTGCTGCCACCTTCCAAACCATGGATTCACTTGTCCCTTCGCACCAGAACATGAGCTCCCCGAGGGCATGGCGTGTATTGGTTTTCTTTTCCGGTGTCTTCCCTGGGGCCTGGCGCACAGCCTGGCACCTTATATGCGCTCGGTGAATGAACCAGTTAGACCTCAGCCTCCTTTTCCAGAAAATGGAGATAACGACAGGAGGTTCATGAAGCCCTTTGCACGTGCCCGGCACATAGTAGACGCTCAACCAACGGCAGCTGTGACTACTGCCACGTAACTCAGTCGCCTTTCAGAGACAAAGAGGCAACGGAAGCCTTTCTGGGGTTTGGAAGGCCAGGCGAGAGGATGACTCGTCCAGTTCAGGCACACCGACGGAGGGGGAGCCTGGGGGGTGCTGAGGACCCATTGGGGCACAGCAGATCCCCACGCGCATTCTAGCCAGGTCGAGGCCCTCCACGGTGGGTCCAAAAGACAGATCTGAGCTGGGCGCCGTGGTGCAGGCCTGTCATCCCAGAGGCTTGAGAGGCTGAGGCTGGAGGATGGCGAGTTCAAAGCCAGCCTCAGSAAAAGCAAGGCGCTAAGCAACTCAGTGAGACCCTGTCTCTAAATAAAATACAAAATAGGGCTGGGGATGGGGCTCCRTGGTCAAGGGCCCCTGAGTTCAATCCCTGGTGCCTGCTCCTGCCGAGAAAGAGGACACTGGTGTAGGCATCAGGGACTGCGCTCCTGGGTCAGAGAGCAAGACCCAGGAAGGAACTGGAGGCCGGAGTCGTGCGCCAGGCTGGAGCACCCCAGGCCACAGACACAGGAAGGACCTCGGGTGGACCCTGAGCGTGACCTGCAGCTGCTGAAGGTTTCCGGCAGGGCCTCCGTGCCCTCCAGGGACATGCAGGAGGTCCCCCCGAGGGGCGGGCAGGGCTCCGCTGGAGGACAGGAGTTGGGAGACCATCAGGAAGGGACTTTCAGGGTGGGAAGTGACGGGCCTGAATTCGAGGGTCGTCAGAGTGGACGGAATGAAGTGGGTGCATTTGAGAAACCTCGGGGGAGGGCTGTGGGGGGAGCAGGGCCCCCTGGACGGGAGCCCCAGTCCCCAGCTTGTGTTCTGAGGCAGGGGGCTCGCTGGGAAGGGCAGACAGGAGGGTGAGAAGGCAGGACCCRTGTGACCTGCCGAGGTCCCTCCTCCCCCATAGCGGCTTAAAAACCACAAGGTTCATCTTCCCGTGTGCTACCTCCAGGGACGGTGGCCAAGGACACAGCCGCCGTCACATTGTCTCTTTTTGTGACTATTATGGTTTGGAGGTGAGGGGTCCCCCAAAAGCTCACGCGTGAGACACCGCGAGACGGTTCAGAGGACAAATGACGASAGGGTTGTGACAGCCTCCACCCCATCGGTGGATTCATCCCTGGTGGGACTGACTGAGGGGTGACCAGAGGTGGGGGTTGTGGCTGGGGGAGGTGGCCCTCCAGGAGGTGACCCAGGCGTGGCCCTGGGTCTATATTTGTCCCTGGCAAGTGGAGTCCCTCTCTGCTTCCCCACCACCCTGGGAGCTGCCTCCCTCGGTCACGCTCTCCGCCATGATGTCCTGCCTCACCTCGGGCCCTGAGGAGTGGACCCCTGGAACCGTGAGTCCCCAGATAACCCCTCCTCCTCTCTACAGCAGAGCTGGCCGCGTCCTTGAGTCACCGCAGCGCAAAAGCTGACTAAAATCAAGAGTGGGCTTTGAAAAGTCGAGGTGTGAGTTCTGGCCACTCACCCCCAAAACGAGACCCGGGGGGTCTCCATCCCTCGCAGAGTGGCCCCCGAGGATGCCCCCTTCCAAACTACCAAGGCCCTTGTCTGCTGATTTCTGTCCCCCGTGGTCAGCTCTGGTGGCTCTTGAATCTCATCTAAATGGAACCAAAGAGGCTGCACTTGGCAAAGGGCTCTGGACGTCCGTCCACTTGGATGCCTGAACCCGGGCCCTGCCTCGCTGCATGGCCATCGCCACCCAAGGTGGAGGGTTTCGTCCTCCTGCTGAGGGGCTCCCAGCAAGACCCCTGTGAAAACACTTGATCGATGACTTCGCAGTAAGACTGTGCTGASGCTCAAGTGTCCCGGGGATGCCGAGGGTGAATAATCAGTAGCCGCTGGACTGGTGGGTCTTGGGTTAAGAAAGGGGAGCTACACCCAGGCGCGGAGGCGCACGCCTGCAATCCCAGCGGCTCAGGAGGCTGAGGCAGGAGGATCGCGAGTGCAAATCCAGCCTCAGCCATGGTGAGGCCCTAAGCAGCTCAGGGAGACCCTGTCTCTAAATACAATACAAAATAGGGCTGGGGATGGGGCTCAGGGGTCGAGGGCCCCTGAGTTCAGTCCCCAGTATCCATCCCCCCCCCCAACAAAAAAGGTAGGTGAACTACAGACAGAGATGCAGGGGTAACAGGCAAAGAGGAGGCCATTAAAACCAGGGCATCATCTGATTTGCAAGGGGATGGTATAAAAGAAAAAAACYCAGGGAAGAAGCTGTGTGGTGGACCGTGTCCTCGTAGCCCCCCAACTCCTCCCTGTCCAGACCCCAGGGTTTTGTCCAGTCTGGCTGGACCCTAACGCGTTCCCTCCCCCTGCCCCTCCCACGGCCTCGTTGGCTCCGGTCCCCCACCTTCCAGTCCTGCCTTAGGACCCTCAGATCCGCCCGCTAGGTTCCCCCACCTGGGGAGACCCCAGCCCTGCCCGCCCCGGGTTCCCAGATCCYGTCCCTCTCTTTAGTGTGGGCCCGTCCACCCGAGGTCCCAGGGCCCGTCCACCCGAGGGGTTTTGCTGGGCTCTGCTCTGTTTGGTGGGGGGTGGGGAGTACCAGCAGCCTCCTCCTGGAGGCCCCCGGGTTCCCTTCTCTCCCCTGAACCCAGCCCCTTCCCTCTCGCTATCCGGTCTCTCTCCTGACTCTGCTCAGGGCTCGTGCTGGGTCTGGACAGGGCTTGGGTGGGTGCCCCAAAGGCCTCTGTGCTGGTYGATGTGACAAGAGGGGGGACCCCGAACAGTGGGTCCTGGTGGGAGGTGGGTGGAGGCTGGGGTGCCGCCCCCCGAAGGCAGTAATGCTGGTCTCRCGGAGTTGGTCCCCTCAACAGCAGGTCGCTACCAGGAAAGCCACCCCGTGTGCCTGACCCCTTCTGCATTCACCCAGGTCCCTTGTCCCCTTTCTGTTTCTCCACCACGTTGTGACCCAGGCAAGGTGGCACTCCTCAGAGACCAGATGGATGGCACTGTCTGAGGTCGGACTTTCAGCCTCCAAAATGGGAAGCCCAGACGCCCTCTTTGCTCTCTGAAGCATGTGGCCTCGGGTATTTTGTTACAGCAACAGAAGAGGAAGGCACCCAGCACGTCACTGTGACTTCTAGAATCTAGGTCAGAAGCCTAGCAGTGCCGCTGGTCTGTTCTGCTCAGTGTTGGCTCTTGTTTTAATATTTAAATCAGATGCCAACTGTTGAAARGCAGGAGATGTCTTAGAAAAACCAGTTGCCGGGCTTCTTTGGGAACAGTGGATCCGGCTGGAGTAGCCTTTCCCCTCTCTTGGTATCCGCCGGGCTCCTGAAACCTCTGGGCTTGTGGCCCCAACACAGTGAGCTTCAGGAGAACAAGAACTTGTCACGGGTCCTTGTGCCTAGCAGATACTCCATCAAAGAGGGGACTTTGCAAAAYTGAGCCCAAGTGGAAACCGTCCTTGCTCTTGGTGGCTAGGCTAGCCCTTCAGAAACAGGAGTCCCCTGGGGTGGCCTTTCAGGTCCGTAACTGAGAGCCCTAGAACTCGGTGCTCAAAGAAGAAGCAGATGAAGAGCACTTCTGAGCAGATGGCCATGCTGCTTCCAGAAAGTTCCAGGGGACAACCAAGGACCCTCAGCGGCCAGGCTCCTGGGCTCTGACGGAGATCATCCAGTTCCTACAGAAAGCGACCCCAGGTCTCCCTGCTGGGCAGCAGCAGAGGCAAAGACCCCTGTGTGCTGGGAGTCCCTAGARATTGTCCCCACCCCAGACAGAACCACCTTCTGAGCTTTATCTATTCGGAGGCGGGAAGCTGACCACCATCAGCACCTGGCACCTCTCTGAGTGCAGGACACCTCTAAACCCATGAGCCCATGGAATCCTCCATAACCTCAGGAGTAAGAGGTGTTGCAATTCCCCATCTCTCAGATGGCCAGTCAGAAGCTCAGAGAGGTGAAGCAACTCGCCTCCAGTCACCCAGCAAGGAAGAGGCAGAAGTGGGATTTGAATCCAAGCAACCTGCGCAGAACCACCAGGCTCTGCTGCCCAGATGATGCGGCCACAGGGGCTGCCGAGACCCTCCGGCTGGCTCCTCCCCACAGCTGGGGCTGCTCTCTGCCAACACCTGTCACTCTCTGCCTGGGGGWGCATCCTCTGGCTGCAGATGGGAGCACAGCCCGCAAGGAGGGCGCGTGGAAGGCGCTGGTGTGTGGACTGTCCAGGAGGCGGCTCGGAACAGAGCTGGGCCTGATCCCTGGGATCCTGGATTGGGAAACCCAAGCACGCATTCTGGGCGGGATTCGACTCCAGGAGCCCACAGCGGTGACGCGCTGGCTGATACAGCGGGCCCTGGGTCTCAGCCGTTCCGCCTCCGTGGATCCAACCCGCTGCAGATCCAAACTACCCAGAAAAAAGTGAAARAATCATCTCCATCTTAAACATGTGCCGACGTTTCCCCTCGCCACCGTTCCCCAACCACTCCAGGCCGGGCAAGTYGGCGTGCCCAGAGGTTGTGACCCACAAAGGAAGGTTCTAGAACTTCCCTGACACTTGGTGTTTGCTTATCTCCTTCTCTTTTCCCTTCCTCGTCCTCCTTAGAAGAAGCGCTTCCGGGGATCAAGTCCCAAATAAACCACTGGCCTCGGAATCCTCACTATGGTCTGTCTCTGGGGGAAACTCAGACCCGGGGACCATGACCAGTTTGGGGACCTTGGAAAACGACTTCCCTGAACCTCAGTTTCCTTTTCTGCAAAAGAAAAACAGGACTGATGATAACAGCACCTGTCGTTCAGGGTCGTGGAGGAGGTGAGTTGAGACGAGTTCATATYTGTMAAGCAYTCRGCATAAGGAACGGCACATAATAAGYRCTCAGTTAAATTTTTAAAAARTTCAAAGCTGTCAGAAATCCCCATTTGGAAACTCCCCCCAAGAGTCTCCCCCGTCCCTGGCCCCTTCAGCAAGGCCACGGTGAGGTACCGCAGGCCTCCCAGAGCCAGGTCTGCCATTCCGAAATACACCACCTGATGAGGTGTGAACCACCCCAGGCTCACCCTACCGTGACTCCATTACCCCAATCCCAGCAGGTCCATTTCACGGCCCCTCAGAATTCCTGCAGATAAGAGGCTTGAGAGTAATTTCTGAGTCCTTCTGGGTGCTCACTGGTTACTGCGCAGGKATTACACTTCTCACGTTCAAGGTCAACTGAAATCCCTCTGCGTGCCTGAGAAYGATTTCCTGTCGGCTGGAAACACTCTTTTTGTTTGTTTTTAATCAACAACTATGGGACGGAGCGATTATAATTCAGGCATAAACAAGCGTCCGCAGGCTCTTGCTTAGGAATAAAGGGACGTATTTTTGCAGCRTGCAGATAAAATAGTCCCTCCCTTCAAGCCAATTACTGGCCCAGACGAAGGCTCTATTTGTGTAGAAAATGTTTTCCGAGGTGGAACGTCACCCCAGCTGCCCAGGACAGAAGAAATCATTTTGCAAAACCGAGACTTCATTTTATACAAGAAAATAGCAGCCTGGGTTTTTGTTGGGTTGTTTTTGTTTTTGTGAAGATGCTTTTATGAATTCTTCTGGCTTTGAGCAGGTTCCACGGGAATGACCTTCAGAGATCAAGGTCACTGGAGAAGGAMTGATAAGCCCAAGGTTAAGCCTGTTTATTTCACTTCGTTTTYAGGAAAGGAGACCCCACTCTGCTCACAACCATTGCCATCATCAGAGCCACTTGGAGGGCACAGCTCAAGACCAGGGACCCAGAGATACTCACATGTTATTTCTGTCAAGTTGAAAAAAAAAATCAACATGATTCTTGGGATGAAACCCAGAATCCTTGCCAAGGCCAGGTCATTCCTGTGAGTCGGTGCTCACACACTTCCTCGGCATGACCTTGGACGCACCCACCCCTGACTAGCTCTGCGCTGCTCCCACTAGCCTTCGTTCATCCTCACATAGTTTCTCTGTAATACCCCACCACAGGACCTTTGCGCATGCTGTTCTCTCTGCACAGAATGCTCCTTCCCCTCTCTTTACTTGGTTAACTTCCATTTCAGTTTCTCCAGGACACTTCCCYCTGTCTTCTCAGACAAGGCTGTACTCCTTTTGTGTTCCCAAAATATACCTGAACGCTTTCCCACGGAACTTTACCTGGCCATAATTTTTCAATTATCTCCTCCTTTTMTTTTCCCTTCCTTCCTTCCTTCTTCTTACAATAGTTGGGATGAAACCCAAAGATGCTTTACCAATGAGCCATACCCCAGCCCCTTCTATATTTTAAGACAGGGTCCCTACTAAGTTGCCAAGGCTGGCCTCAAACCTGTGATCCTCCTGCGTCACGGGGATTACAGGCGGGTACCACCACATCCAACTAATTTTTCAATTTTCTTGAGTGACTATTTAATAAATAACAATCATTCACTGCATTTTAGATCTGCCCTTTTATACATTTTTCCAGAATTAGCAGGTCATCGTGGTTTATCCAAAATTGATGGTTTCCCAAAAGATTCTGTGCGTTAAATTTATATGCACAATTTCTGTGTTTTCCCTGTGGAACTATCATATATAGACTCAAACCCAACTTCCCCCAAACATTTTCTTTTCTTTTTCTTTTTATTTCTTTTTGTACTGGGGATTGAACTCAGGGGCACTTGGCCACTGAGCCCCATCCCCAGCCCTATTTTGTATTTTATTTAGAGACAGGGTCTCACGGAGCTGCTCAGCGCCTCACTTTGGCTGAGGCTGGCCTTGAACTCACGATCCTCCTGCCTCAGCCTCCTGAGCTGCTGGGATGACAGGTGAGCGCCACCGTGCCGGGCTTCAGAACATCTTCTTTTAAAACTGGGATGTGTCCTGCACCCRCTGCTCCTAACTAACAACGGGGTTYGCAGGTCCCCAGCGAATGGAAGGGGCTTCTCTGAGGTCGGAGCAGAGCAGCTGTATAGCCGGCRGTCAGAGTCAAGGGGCATCTCCCGAGGTCCCCGGTCCCATCCACCCTCCTGTCTAGCACCATCCCGACGATGGATTCAAATCCAGATCCCCCCGTCCACCAGCCTCGTTGGCCTGGCCTCCGAAATCCATCACCACTCGGTCCCCTTTTCCCACGCAGTTCGTCCAAATCACCCTCAAAGTAACCTGGGAAGTACATGAGCCCACATCAAGGACATGTCTCATCCGAATGAGGACGGGAGGCGGGGACACCGTCCCAGGCCAGGAGACACTGCCCCGGGGTCCTGAAGTCGGCCCAGAGTTCTCTGGGAACGGACTGCAGAGGCTGAGTCCTGACRGGTCTGGCTACGGACCCCACCAAGGGCGGGAAATGGCACATGGCAGACCCTGGTTCCCCTGGACGCAGAAAGCAAGGAGCCTCACCTCAAACTTCTGCCGCAGTTCTTCATTGCCCTCGCTGCCCTCGGGCGGCACAGGCACGTTGAAGTACTCGCCCTCCTCCTGGCTCAGCAGCTTAAACCTACAGGGAGACAAGGGTCAGGTGAGRGTCCCCGACGTGCTGTCTGGTGCTGTTTCGCGGAGTGGCCCTGAGAAGGGGCCCCATAGAAAGCTCTCCTYTGAAAAACCATGATGAGCCAGGCGCACGCCTGTCATCCCAGCAGCTGGGGAGGCTGAGGCAGGAGGATCGCGAGTTCAAAGCCAGCCTCTGCAAAAAGGGAGGCCCTAAGCAACTCAGTGAGACCCTGTCTCTAGATAAAATCCAAAATAGGGCTGGGATGGGGCTCAGGGGTTGAGTGCCCCTGAGTTCAATCCCTGGTACAATAGCAGTCTTTTGTTTTGTTGGGTTTGGGGTTTGGGCTTCTGGTGTGTGTGTGTGTGTGTGTGTGTGTGTGTGTGAGAGAGAGAGAGAGAGAGAGAGAGAGAGAGAGAGAGAGAGAGAGAGTTTGTAGCCCAGGACACCATATATTTTTGTAAGTACAAGTTGTACATCCCTAATCCCAAAACTCAAAATCTCAAACGCTCCAACATTCAAACCTGTTGGATCACCCACATGATAATGTACATGGAAAAATTCCCCAACTGGGACACTTCAGTTCATGCACAAATTCACTAAAAATGSKGCATGCAGTTAGTTACCTGCCACCTATGTGTGCAAGGTGTATGTGAAATACTGTGTGAGACCGAGTCCCTTCCCCAAGATATGTCATTATGAATGAGCAAAGGGTCCAAAATCAGAGTCCAGAGTCCAAAACACTTCTGGTCCCACGCATGGGGACACTTGACCTGTGTTCCCCGGACATCAGGGGGGAAAAGGTACATCCTGTGTTTACAGAGGACATGAAGTTCTCTCTGCACACACCACACTCACACACACTCACACACTCACACTCACACACACACACTCTCACACACTCGCACACACACACTCACACTCACACTCACACACATGCACACACTTACACACACACGCACACTCACACACACATACTCACACACACTCGCACACACACACTCACACACACATACTCACACTCACACACACGCACACTCACACACACTCGCACACTCACACACACTCGCACACACGCACACATGCACACTCACACACTCACACACACACATTCACACTCACACACACTCTCACACACGCACTTTCTTAGTCACATGGTTCAATTATTATTATGATTTTTGTCCTCCAGGTTCATTCTGATTCCAGGTGGGGCCATGGCGACCGAGGACTTCCCAGCKCTCCTCTTCTGTGCAGAAACCTGCCCAAAGTGCTCCGCAGAAACCTTGTCCCTCTAAGGCCCTGGTGTCAAAGACGCCGGGTCCACCCCACCTCCGTCCTTGCCTCCTTGGGTGGCCTAGGCACGTGGCGGGGCTCTGGGCCTTGGCCTTTCACATCTACAAGGCGGAACCAGGTCCCTTTCTGCAGACGCGTGATTGACAGMTGATGATGCACGGAAAGCGCCCGGMGAGACAGGTGACCTTCCSGGGGTTCAGCACGTGGCACCGTCGGCGTGACTGGGGCTAGCGCTCTTGTCACAGCGCGGTGGCTTCCGTGTGCTTCCAGCCAGACAGGCGGTAAGAACRAGGACAGGCAAGGGACATTCCCGAGGCGTCTGAGGGGGGAGGAAGGAGGTTCCCCAAGCTCCTCACCCCCAAGGTCCCACGTCACGGCTCTTCTGCTCCATTCACAGATCTTCTTAGGCAGCTTCCGAAAATAGGGGACAGAGGTGACCGAGAGCGGAGGGGACAAGCCTCCACGTTGGGCGTCGGGCTCTCGTCCTCCCAGCTTCCACTGAAGTCACCAAAACAAACAGAAAAGCCAAGGAACGTCTGTGTCCGTGCCGGAAACCAGGACGGGGGCCATGCGCRCAGCAGGGGCTTCCAGAAACTTCCACAGACTTAAGTAAAGGTGAGAGGACGCCGGGGTGGGATTTGTTAGATCTGTGTGTTGTTTTACATAATGCTCCTCCATAAAACATAAACATCTTCATTTAAATTCTCTTTTAGAGGCCACTTTCTGGCCTCGGGGTGTTCCATAGCACAGGGTGTGCCTACCATGTGTGAGGCCCTGCGGCCCGTCCCCAGCACCCAGACTCAATAAATCTGCAAAAACATCAAATTTTTTTTGTGTGTCTCTTGCTTCAAGCAAGAAAGTCTATGTCACTTCTTACAAAGAGAAAGTAACTGTTAGAGGCAACAATAAGTGTTGGCGAGGGTGTGGGGGGAAAGGCACACTCATACGGTGCTGGTGGGACTGCAAATTGGTACGACCGGTATGGAAAGCAGGATGGAGATTCCTCAGAAAACTGGGAATGGAACCACCATTGGACCCAGCTGTCCCACTCCTGGGTTTATACCCAAAGGACTTAAAATCAGCATCCGACAGGGACACAGCCACATCAATGTTGATAGCAGCTCAATTCACAAGAGCTGAACTGTGGGACCAACCTAGGTGTCCCTCAATAGGTGAATGGATAAAGAAAACGGGGTCTAGATACTCAATGGAATATTATTCAGCTTTAAAGAAGAGTGAAAATATGGAATTTGCCATAAATGGTTGGAGTTGAAGAGTATCATGCTAAGCGAAATAAGCCAATCCCACAAAACCAAAGGCTGAATGTTATCTCTAATAGGCGGATGCTGATTCCCAATCAGGCTGGGGGTGGGGCACTAGGGAAGAAAGCGTTACCTTAGATTAGGTAGAGGGAAGTGATGGGAGGGGAGGGGAGGGGATGTGGGGACAGGAAGGATAGTAGAATGAAGCAGATATTATTATTGTATGYWTATATGTGACTGCATGACCATTATGATTCTGCAACATGTCTGGAGCCTGAAGCGTGTGCCTCTGGCTATGGCACAGCAGGAGGGAATGCAGAGTAACTGAGCTCTTACAAGCTCCACATAAGGCCACTGCACCATGAGGAGAGAAGAACAGCGCTCTCTCCAGCTTCGAGACCCTCAGGACCAACGTGGGGAAGATGTGGGGATGCTCGTTACCCAGCTCTCTCTAGCTGTCGTCCACTCTCCAATGCACCCGGGGAACAGGACACCCCATAGGACAAAAATGGACTTCCCCAAACAGCAGGACTCCTGTGGCCTTTCACCCAGGTCAGAAAGGTCAGGACAGGGACAGGCGTCATTTCTGTACTTTTCCTGCTCTAAGGACGGGTAAATAGAGARAGGGCACAGGGCACAGGGAAAACTCCAGTCATTCAAACAGAAAGAAGCCATGAGGGATCCCATCAGGACCTCCTGTGAAAGAGACTACTGTCCCAGGAAGTTCTGCTAAACGTGTAACTCCTATCCTCGGAGAGATTCCTGTGTCTATGAAAAGGGGAAAGTCTGAAATTTGGAAAGTTCACTTGCAGAAGAAAAATCTCAATCACTGGATTGAAAAATCAGACAAGGAACCAAGGATGGAGAACTCAGATAACAATTGGTGGACAGAAGACAAACTTGAGAGATGTTCCTGGTGGCCGACTCAATGTGGATCGTGTTAGAGTTAAACCAGATGCTTTCTATTCCACTAAYAAAAAAAGTGCATATGACCCAAATTAATTTGCAACATGAGAAGGAAGAATATTTGCAACATAAATGTCAGCAAAGACAATATTAACAACTTTCTTATAAAAAAATGTTCTTATAAAATCAAAAAGAAGAGGCAAAAGATAAGACATAATCATTTACAGATATAAGTGAGTGGCGATAATCAAATGAAAATGCTCAACACAATTAATATTAAAATACGTATCACCTTTCTGGTGTTTGAAATTTAGAATAGCAGATGCTGACAGGTGGGAGTAAAATAAAAAAAAAATTAAACAACATTATTCAGATATAAGGTGATTTTTAAAAAAAATATAGGCTGGGTTGGCAGATATCCTCAAAGCCGTCAATCCTAGACCAAGAGATTTATTCAGAAATAATTAAAGGTATGCACACAAAGATTTCATCACAAGTGGGTTTACTGCAGAACTGTTTTTGAAAATAAGCCTTGTATGCCTTATAATAAGAATATGGTGATATAATGAGGCAGATCCACAGAATGCATGGCATGAAGCTATTAAAACTGATGTTGCCCAAGATTATTAAATGACAGAGGAAAAGTTTCAATGTAGATCATTAGGAGAAGATTGAAGGCTACCAGATAGTGTTGCTACAAAATTTCACACTTTTGTTTCCTACACACACATTTATACACTCACACTCACACTCTAATATATTTTGTTTGCTTATTTATATTTTTTCCAATACTTGTTCAATTGGTAATAAAAATGACTGACGCTTATTGAGTGCCCACTCTTTACCAGACACCGGGCACTAATTTAACATCTCCAGGATTCTGTGAACACAATCACCACTATTATCTCCAAAGGAGAAAAGGGGGCCCAGAGAGGCTCAGCAACTCGCCCAGGGCACACAGCTACGAAATGATGGATCAGAAATTCTAGCCCAGGAAGTCGGATCCCAAAGCTTTATTATGATTACTTGTAACTGGAGAAAGAAGTCATTATTAGAAATAATAAAATGAAAGTTTCAAGAAACAGCATTTTAAAGTAACAATGATCTAAGAGAATAATTCTGATCAGAAGGGGAGGAAAACAGAGAGTGAAAAAGGAAAGAAAAACAATCTTTGGAAACATAGCGGCAGCAGCCAGACCAGACCAGAGGGTGGACACTTTGTTATAGAAAGGACTTTTGGGTTCCGMTACTTTATTTTAAAAATTTTTTTATAAACATCCTACAATGTGCCACTTGTTATACATGATCAAAGGAATCAGAAAGCATGAAAATTTTGGAAAAATCTAGGCAAAAGGACCTGCCCCTCCCCTGCCCGGTGCCACAGTGGACACTCAGAGAGGACACAGATGTCGTTAGCCCCGGGGCTCCCCATCCATCAGGGTCTGGATCTGCATGTGGATTCCTCTGTGCTGCAGAATGGCTGCTGGGAGGCCGGACCTCGTGGGAGGGTGGCACTGGGGTGTGCCCTGGGGACTGGACTGTCCCTGG